TGTGATGGGAGATGATTTTTATTTGTTGAATTAAAGGTTTGTCTGGGGCAGCTGCAGCTTATTGACAATCTATTGCAGTTGCTCCAAATCAGCTGCTGATCAGCAACTGATCCGGATAAGCCGGTTGACTGTTTGTTTTGTGTTGTTGGAAAACAACGACTTGCAACTGATTGTGGATAAATGACTATTATACCCCTGAACAGTAATATTATTTGCAGCTGAATTGTCTTAGTAATTTATTTGATACATGAGAAGCAAAAATTCACTTCAGAACAGTAGAAAAAATAAGATACACTCCTCATATAATAGTGAATGTCAAGTGTACATTAAAAAAAAAAGGCAAAAAGTATTAAAATTACATTCAAAAAAATTATAATGTTCATTTTAAAATCGAAATGACGTATATCCCGAGCAACGTCGTCCTCTATGGATGTCATCGAACTCCGATCACTATCGGCAATGGAATCTTCCGAATAGTCTGCCCACTAGAAGAGACCACACTTCTCTGGACCATCTACCCACCGCGGACACCTGTAAAACTTTCTCTAATAACTATGTGCCCGAAGTAACGTCAATAGGAATGTATGTAGTCTATATGATTACACAGAGCCAAAAATCATAGGAACTTTTAGAGAAACTTAACTGGAGCACCAAGTAAGAAGGGAGTGGAGAAGGGCCATATTAAGGGCGAGAGAGGCGCGGGTTAGGGAGATCGATAGCATAGCCATGGCAAGAAGAGGGATGCATGCTCGAGGTCAAAAGGGCAGTGGGGTAATAATTTGTAAAGGAACGCGGGTCGCGTGGTCAATTCCGCGGTCGTGATCCTTCGAAAATAACTCTATTCTCGCCCACGTGTTTTCGGATCCGCCCACTGAACACAATTACCAAACAATATGTTGTCGTTTTGAAAACGCAATACATATAAATAAGCTGCCTCAAACGAATCCTAAGTTGATGGATGATGTACAACAGCGGCAAAAAGCTAGTAATTGTAGTGGAAATAAGTAGATAATGATTGAATTTAAAAATTTTGAAATAAATTAAATTTAACCGACATAATAAATTATAAATTTATCAAAATCTTACATTGCATTTCATTTTTTACCCTTAAACTCTCCAAGTACTCATTCTGAGAAACTTTTAGAAGCCTTAACTCCATCACTCCATTGTGTAGCATAGTGCAGAAAAGTGTAGTTTTAGCGAGCTCAAGCTCCGATTATGGGAGTAAACTAGTTAAAAACCTTTTCATTTGTATGATGCTTAATATTTTAGCATAAAAGAGATAGAATTTAGTTGAAAGTCATAAATATTATGTAATTAATAATATATCATGAATAGACACACATTATGCATATTAAATATAAGTATAGATACACGTGCATATAGGATTGTAATTGAACTGAACCATGTTAAATACACCATAAATTGGGCATGGCTTGATCATATTATAAGTTGATTGTGGTTATTGAGGTGTATCTGAAGTTTCGCATGTTAAAAAATCATATACGAACTTTATGACACAAATTCTTAAAAAAAATACATAATAGTCAAGATCTTTAAATTCATGATTTTTATCTATCCATAATAAAGTAACACGTACATGCCTTGCATCAATAATAATCTTCTAAATTGTTAAAATTTTTGTGATTTACAATTTTCATCTTCTTTAATTCTTCAACTAACTCAAAATTTAAGGCATTTATTCAAAAAAATAATCTTATAATTTTTTTGCTTAACATTAAAAAAACATATAAAAAAGCTTTAAACCTTGAATTAATGAGTTTGATTTCTAATGACAATTTTGTATTCATGCATTGAAGTACATAAACCCTATTTTTGATATGTGCGGCTTCAACATGGAATGAGATTATTGAAGATAATTTAGATAGGAAGATCATCACATGGGATGTTGACAAATAAATTAAGGTGGTTAAAGTTGACGTATCAAATTCGAATTAGAGGTTCAAGGTTTAATAATTCAACCGGATTTGAACCGAATGACATAATTGATATTAAAATTATTTTTATTTAAAATAAATAATAACAAAATGATGCAATAATATTATTTTTATTGATTTAATAACTAATATGTTAATTTAAGACAATTCACATTTGAATATTTTTAATAATATTTTAAATCAAAATTTTGAAACACAATTTTTTTTCTATTTTTAATATAAATATCTTATCTCTAATCATCTTATCAAATTCAAAATGTCAAAATTGGACAGTATTAGAATTTGTTGGTCTTTAAAAACCATCCCTATTGATCACCAGTTCACTGGTTCAACCTCCTGATTATGTGGAGAACTGATTTTCAGCTTGGATCGACCTATGAATTGATTTGCTCATGATTTAACAAGTCAAACCGATCAGTTCCATTCGATTTTTATAACCATACAAAAAAACAACATTTTCATAAGATTTATCCCATCCCTCGCGTTAGGAACAGAACATAATCTTTTCTACTTCTTATGATGAGAACCTCTTTAGTCTTTCTTTAATTCCAGACAAAAACACTTTACCATTAAGCTAGCTTCCTTCAGAATATATGATGAATATAACTTTTTTAAAATCCCCCCCATTACTTAGCATATATACTATATCTCTCTTCCCTTAGGTTAAATGTTATCATCCATCGACCTCTTCTTGACAATGCACTTCTTTGACTATCAACTTACCAAGAAAAATCTACTAAACATGTTTAATTTATGAACAAGCCTTTGTTATTCTGAAATAGACTCTTTCCAATGCATGACTTTTAAAAATGACTTATTAAAATATTACTTTGTGGTTAACATATTCACATAGAAAGAATTCAGAAAAAAAAAACCCCATTTTTCATGGAAAAAATGGTTGGAACTCTAAAATTAATTTAGATATCTAATTCAACTCATAAAATAACAAATATTGATAATTCTACTTCTTATGATGAGAACCTCTTTGGTCTTTCTTTAATTCCAGACGAAAACACAACTTTTGGACCTGACTTTCAGCAAAACATATTACGCCTTATATACACGTCTTTTTCCACTAATTAGGGGCTTTTACATAAATACGATCCAATTCCTTGCAATTTGCATGCCTACCTTCTAAAATTTGTCTTTTTACATTTATAATTTTTAAATATTTTATATCACATCAAAAATATATGTATTTTAGTTTTTAAAAGATGACATATCTTTCCATACATAATTAAAATGCTATAAATATGAACAGTTAAATTTAGCTATTAGATACATAAATACATAGAAATTAGGTTGTATAAATGTACATCTTAAGTGGTCAGGGAGGGGGCCGCTTTTATATAAAAATGTTAAATAAATGGAAAGCTGATAGAGAAATAACTTGGAAGTTTAATCTGCGCACTCGTTGGGCTCTTAATGAGAAGATGCCAAATTGAGTTGGGGCTGGTCAACCAAAATTCAGTCAATATTAATATGACATATTTAATGGAGAAAAAGACATACATACATATCATCATATTTTTTTTGTATTTATATATCTAACACCTAAAATATATTGACTGAATTTTTTTGTCCCCATATTTTGTCCCTTTAATTCGCACGAGATCCAAAGTATGAAAGTTGCTTCCAAAACAAAAAAGTGTATGTCAAGGTGAGCCAGCTTTTAATGGTGCACGAGCTTTCTCTCCGCGTCCGCTGGTTTGGCGGTGAACGTGATTATCTTTATCTTTTATCTAATTATCTCGTTGACAAAATAATTGCATCATAATGAGTTCATTAAGGAACAGATGCAAGATCTAGTGATGTATCAGCTTCTAAAAATTGAGTTCTATACTTTTTTTATTTTTATCATCTCTATTAATTTACTTAAATTTAGAGCTGCATTCTATCATTTCAAGTTGATACGTTGTCAGAAAATTTCATCAAGAATCTTGAGACCCAAAAAATGTTAGAATTAGAATTAATAATCATTTGGAGCTAAGATTTATGTAAACTTACAGTCAAACTAACTGACTCGACGAGAGAAACTCGATGAAATCAAAATTGGGTTAATCCTAGTTGAATCAAGCTCGGATCAAGCTATTAAACCATTTTTTGGAGCTTTGGACAGTTAATTGGAGGACCAAATAGAATTCAAATAGGACAAGTTTATAGTCAAAGCAAACGTCTTTATGAGACGAATCCAATGAGTGTAATATCATTCAATTTTGATATAATTAAGACACTTAAATACGCGCAAAACTTCATCTGATTATGAAAATTGCTCTAGGTCGTCTGATGGAGTTGTTCGTATTTTTGTCTAATTTACAAGGAATGACACTCATAAACTTTATAAATAGAGTCCTACTCACTTCATGAATGAGGAGGATGACCGAGAGTTGGATCAGAAAGAGGAGGAGAATCTTAGAGTCATTCTAGATTCGAAGTCCCGACGAACACTTCCTGCCACCATAGTTACCAACCACAATTGACCACGTACTGCTTGCTAGCTGCCCTCGACCATCGTCGGCAGCCCCCTCCTCATCGCCAACAAAGTACCACTCAAAATAATTAACCTCACAATTGCCAAGTAAAGAAACATTTGCAATGTAAAGCACCTACATAATGACAACGTACGCGATGGAGTAACGAAGTATCCTATTGAGCAAATATGTGCTCTGAATGTAATGTAATGATGCAATCCAAAGACGGTATAATAATGCAAGTTGAATATGGTGTAACAATGCACCACAGATCCAATGTACATTCGTTGACATTGCAGCCCTCTACTTGGAACTTGGTGGCCAACTGACGCTCGTC